AAATAAATAAATAAATAAATAAATAAAAATATATGTATAAATATAAATATGAAGAAGATAAAACAGACACAGCAAAGGAAGATACCCTTTATAGAGCTGCCTATACACCCCAAGAGCTGCCTATACACCGCAAAATATAATAAAAAGAGCTGCCTATACACCCCAAAATAAAGTAGAAAGAGCTGCATATACACCGCAAAATAAAGTAGAAAGAGCTGTATATACACCGCAAAATATAATAAAAAGAGCTGCCTATACACCGCAAGAAAAGTAAAGAAAAGCTGCGTATAAACCCCAAGGCAAAGTAAAAAAAGCTGCCTATACACCGCAAAATATAAGAAGAAGAGGTGCCTATACACCGCAAAATATAATAAAAATAGCTGCCTATACACCGCAGAGTGTATGTATAACCTGTGTATGTATTTGTTCGTGTACACCCAAAAAAGAAAAAGTTCGTTTGCGGAGAAGAGAAGGAGACGGAGACAAACAAAATAAAAAAGAAGGGCCCCAGGTTGATGCAGCATCCAGAAACTGCAATACACCACAAACCCTAAACCCTAAACCCTAAACCCTAAACCCTAAACCCTGAAAAACCCTAAAACCTAAACCCTCAAACACCAGAAATCTTAAAGGAGAATAGTAAGGGTTAGCTCATGTATTAAGTACATACAAACCCTAAACCCTAAACCCTAGAATATAAACCCTAATTCCTAAACCCTAAACCCTAGAATATAAACCCTAAACCCTAAACCCTGTTAGGTTTATGATTGCTAGGGTTTAGGGTTTAGCACAAACCGCCGACTCCTCAGCAACTGCGGGTTGGGCCCCCCCAAAGAAAAAGACAACAGGACGAAGCTCCGTGAATATCTGCATCCACAAACCCTAAACCCTAAACCCTAAACCCTAAACCCTAAACCCTCAGAGATACACCCTAAACTAGAAACCCTAGATGATCAGACTCACGCAAAGCCCGAACCAGAACGCGACAAAACAAACCCTAAACCCTAAACCCTAAACCCTTAACCCTAAACCCTAAACCCTAAACCCTAAACCCTAAACCNAACCCTAAACCCTAAACCCTAAACCCTTAACCCTAAACCCTAAACCCTAAACCCTAAACCCTAAACCCTACCGAAGGAGCAGTGAGAGTGTTTAAGCTGGTGGCGGGGGGTTGTTCTCCCTCGAGGGCACGAGACAAACGAATCTAAACAGCAGCACAACCACAAACCCTAAACCCTAAACCCTAAACCCTAAACCCTAAACCCTAGATTTTTTATACAGCACGTAACATAAAACTGCAGAAAGAAACAGAGAATAAGCTGAAACACCAAAACTCAAACCCTAAACCCTAAACCCTAAACCCTAAGAAAGAGATAGAAGCAGCAACAGAAACAAAAGGAGAACACCACCCAGCCATCCACGACAAACAAAACCCTAAACCCTAAACCCTAAACCCTAATAAATTCTTCTTACCTGCTCTTCTTCATCGTCCATAGAAAACTCCTCCCGCAAACCCTTTGGCCGCAGCAGCAGCTGACGCGGGGGTTTCACCTGCACAAACCCTAAACCCTAAACCCTAAACCCTAAACCCTAGACCCTAAACCCTAAACCCTAAACCCTAAACCCTAAACCCTAGACCCTAGACCCTAAACCCTAAACCACAGCTGCCACGCAGAAAACTCTCGCGGGGCTTAACTGAGTTGCGGCTGTCTCCGGGTGTACATACAGCTGAGAGATAGCAATAGACGAACAGCTAGGGTTTAGGGTTTAGGGTTTAGGGTTTAGGGTTACGTCAAAGGAAGAAGCAATAGATGAATCGAAGACGTCATATATAGGGAAACGCATAGCAGCAACCAAAACCCTAGAAGGCACGGGGGTTATATCAGCAGCTGCACCGCAACACAAACCCTAAACCCTAAACCCTAAACCCTAAACCCTAAACCCTAGATCCTAAACCCTAAACCCTCGGTGCTCGATCTCAGACGCTAAACGTAAAACTTTGGCCCCTAAACCCTCATC